GTCTTAGTAGAGTCAAACGTTGCCCAAGGTAGGTGTACCATGTGTCAGGCCCGGAACGTGTCTATACTGGTGCGCTTCTTCATGCGCGCGAACGCTTAAACCAGGTGAATAAATATTTAATCGGTGGACGTGCAACTGACGTCAAGGAGGGATGTAGAGTCGCACAATGCTTCTTAGGTTAATGGACAAAAATGCGAGCCAGCCCAGTTGTTATCCGACCTAAGCTGGACGAGCTTTGACGGCGGCAAGGTCACGATAAAATATTTCTTGTACCAAGTGCAAAAAATCGGTTACGAAACAGTAGCGTTTGCACACGTTAGTGAAAGTTGCCACTGCTAGCTAAAGACTTTTGCAATGTGGTGATGCATGGACGAAGAGAGAATTTACAATCGCTTGATCAAGCTGGACTTGAGTAAACAGACAGCTCTAGAGTTATCCAGATACTCCGGTAATTGCGGACTTAAAGAGTGATAAGTTCAATATGAACTGCACAACGAAGGGTATACCCAGGAAGACTGAGACGGCAACTGTTTCTGGGATGCGATTCGTTCATTCACTTTAAGTCACAATCGATCATATATATATGTCTATTTTAGAAAGGACAAAGTACACTAGTGATTCTTTGGTGCGAGTTACTCTGACGAATCTCTGCCAGAAGGTTCACCTTGACAGCAGGTCAACGAATACCGTTTTGGGCTAAACCGGGCTCTAACCGCCGAATCATGGCTGGCGCCTGGCACAGCGGTATTTAGTGACAGCAATTAAAGACAATAGGTCAGTTATGAATCGTTTACCAGTTATACGAAGGGGTAAGAAAGGAACAAAAACAGTGAGAATATACACCTTGATGGCAAACAGACAGATCACCCTACTGAAAATTCAGCCTTAATGAAATTAGGGGAGCCAACGTCGTTTCAAATCAAGTGGGCCCCTCTGATAAGGTATGCGCACAGGTAGATTCGGGGTTAAGTCTGAAAAAGTCGCGTGCTCAGCTGGCTATCTGAGAACTTACCCAGGTCCATAAATCGACATGTTTTACAGAACAAGGTAGAGTGCAAGCCTGTATGCTAAGTGACCGTAAAAGACCAAGAACCTGCTAAACTTTGTTCCCACCCGTTACGGGTGAATAATACGATAAATCCTCAAACAAATAGATGCATGCTAACCCAGTACAAATATTTTTTACCCGATAGCTGTAACCTTGCTTCATTTAACTGGCATAATTGAGCACGATATCTCAAGAGACTGATTTCAGACACAATCGCTAATGTCAATTTTGAAGGTGCTACGATCGTCCGGTTTTGTCCCTGACGATGAATTCGAATTAAAACTCGAAGCTTCTAAAGCTCTTGTTCCGGCGACAGTGTCACGCTCGCGACTGTTTCCCGGGGCTCACCTCTTCACATCTAACGGCGGTTATATTCCACTCGAACAGATATATTATGTCGATCTACTAGTACTCAAATGGACGCTTGTTGGCCCAGTCCTCGGGTTGCTGTAAAGGGTTACGCGATGCATTTCTACTGAACGACTGAGTTGAGTGTAAAAGTGCTGATTCAGTGTTGATGGCACCAATTTGTTTAAGGCATTCGTAAATCTCATAAACGGTATGGGAAGAAGGGAAATA